GAGTGGGGGGGGGGGGGGGTGCAAATCCCAGCTGCCCCCCGCTTATGACTGGGGGACTTCAGGCCAAAGCCTTCCCCCCGGCCCCCCCGGGGCTGGGGAGGGGGGGTCTGCCCAAACCCCAGCCCTATAGTGCTTTTGGGGGGGGTGTTAAAACCCCTCACTGGCGTGTGGGGCAGCAGCACACCAAGGGTGTCCCCCCCCTCACTGTAAGGATGTGGCACAGCGTGGGGCCCGTGGGGACGCAGCCCCCAGCCCCATTTTGTAGGGTCCTTCTCCTGCACCTCATACTGGGCTGCGGCCAGGCTGGGGGCCAGGATGAAGTGGCACGACACACACAAGACCCTGCTGCCCCCCCTTTCCCTTTGCCATTACTTAGTCTGGTGAAGCAGCAAAAGGAGAGAGGAAAAAATAGTAATTTTTGGTAAATTATTGATGTTCAGGGCCTCAGTGCTGCTTTTGGGGTGGGCAATGGGGACTGCAGGTAGGTCCCGCTCTCCGCCAGGGGTCCGAGGGGCCAAACCCCCATCGCAGCCTCCCCAGCGCAGGTGGCCTTGTGCTGGCCCCCCCCCAGCTCTATATTTAAAAAAGCAAGTTGCCATGACTACGCGGAGCAGCTCTCACCAGCCCTTGGTGCTGCAGGGAGAGTGCAGAAAGAGCTGGGGACCCTGCAGCCCCCACCTCCGCTTAGCTTCCCTTGCAAGAGGTAAATTCGGTATAACCCCCCTCCCCCCCCTAAATTCAGTATAAATCCCAAACAAGCTTTTGTCATGACCTTTTCCTTTGAGGTGGGCAGGCAGAAGAGAGGCAGCAAAGGATGGACGTTACAGGTACAGGACGATGCTGCACTTGCCTCTCAATCACTCAGAGTGTTTGAATGACTATGCGCCACCAGTGAAAAAGTGGAAAATAGCATTTATGCTTTCTGAGCTCAAAAGATGTTCTGGTGCTAATACGTTTCAACGCTGACTCAAAGGCAGATTTTAAAAAAAAGGAGTTTCCCTGGGAACAAGACCTCGTATAACCTCGTCAGAGGAGGATGGCAGGCTGAGGTCTCCGGTGCACAGTTTTGCCTCTACACTTTCTGCAGAAATATAATGCTTTGTGACCTGGAGAGCTGTCAGGGTCTTGCCACGATAGCAATGTCCTTTCAGCTTTTTGAGGAGAGTTTTGTACCACAAAGGATCCTTGGGGTTGTACTGAGGTGACGCAGGCCAGAACACAGCCCAGCGAGATGAAGACGACTGTGTGAACACTAGACTTTTCATTTTAAGGAATTCACCTCCATGACATTCTGTTGAAGTTGTGTAACTTTTCCCTTTGTTTTCCCTTTTCTTTCCCAGTAAGGATAAGTTGCCAACCAAGCTGTGTATCATAGTTACTTTATTCTCATCAGTCCAGCTAAAGTAAATTCTTACACTTAAAAACACGCAGTTTAAAATAAAGGCCACGAGCAGCTCTTTTTCACTACACAGCAGTCAGCCACACAGGCAGTGCGGAGGGGCACCAAAGGGACGATGGCGTCGCCCAGGAGCTGCTGCTGGACGTGACGGAAATCGTTCTGCCTTTTGAGGCGTTTGAACTCGTTGAAGGCGGAGGCGGAGGTCTGGTAGAGGAGCAGGGCCATGGCGCGCGCCTTGTCGGCTTTGGACACCAGGCGGCGTGGCAAGCGCAGCACCACCGCCTTGTTTTTCACCTGGTGCCGGTAAACCCAGGCGAAGACCTTGGGGTGCCGGCGGTCGGCAGCGCAGTAGGTGATACGGTGCAGGAGGTACGCGTGGCCCGGCCGGCGGGCGCCCTTCTCGC